TGCATGCATGCGTGCAAGCATGCATGCATGGATGTATGCATGTATGTAGGTATATACACGTGTACGAATGTATGGTTGTATGTATGCATGTATGTATGTATGTACGTATGTTTACCTGCATGTCTGTATGTGTGCATGTCGGCATGTATGTATGCACGCATGTATGTTATGTTTGTATACATATACGTATGCATGTATATACGTATGTAATGATATATGCATGCACGTGTGAATGCACGTATGCACATCCATATGCACATATGTATGTATATTTATGTGCATATATGCATACATGCATGCAGGCATGTGTGTATGTATGTATGCATGTATGTGGATGTATGTATATATATATATATATGCATGTATGTATGTATGTACGTATGTATGCCCGCATGTCTGTATGTGTGCATGTCGGCATGAATGTATGCACGCATGCATATATGTTTGTCTATATATGCGTATGCATGCATGTGCGTATGTAAGGACATCTGCATGCACGTGTGTATGCACGTATGCACATCCATATGCACACATGTATGTATGTATGCATGTATGCATGCATGCATGTATGTATGTATGCATGTATGTTTATGTATGTATGCACGTATGTATGTATGTATGCATGTATGCATGTATGCATGTATGTATGCATGTATGTATGTATGTAATTATGTATGCATGTAGGTATGTATGTATGTATATCTATACATGTATATGTAGGCAGGTAGGTAGGTAGGTAGGTATGCATGTATGCATGTATGCATGTATGCAAACATGCATGTCTGTATGCATGCATGTATGTATGTATGCATGTATGTATGTATGTATGTATGCATATATATATATATATGTGTGTGTGTGCATCGATGTGTGCATACACACGCGTGCACAGGTGCCTACATGTGCACACCTGTACATCTCAGCACCCATCTCCACATCCGCACCCGCCGCCCGCCGAGGCCCCCGAAGACCCATCCCCCGGCCGATGTGGTGGTGTTGCGTGCACCTCCCCGTGATCCCCCCGAGGGGCCTGCGCGGGCTCCGGGCCGCGGTGCAGGAATCTCAGAGGAGGGGGCCTCCAAGGGGGGCGAGCTCGACTGAGGAGGGGCACGCGCGGGGTCGTGTCAACAGATAGTCTGGAGACGATGTTTTGAGTATGTTTGAGCATTATTGCGACATGTTTTTTGGCTACTCTTTATCTTTCCTCCGGAATCCGCCTGCAGGGCGACATGCCCGACCTAACCCCAGGGAGGGGGAGCGGGACAGCCTATCATCGGACACTTGTTTTACCAGCTCGAGAAGGTTCAGGCGATCGCCAACATGGCTTAAGGGGGCGTGGATCAGCGCCAGGTCCCATCTCCATGGGGAATCGCGGATCTCCGCCGCCGAGCGAGGCGGCACAGGCCGCATTGGTGGGGAGGGCACCTCCCCCGATCCACCATGGATGTGGCGGCCGCGCGCCACATCCATGGATCGCTAATCCGTGTTAGCGGCTCCCCCGATCGTGGGCCCGTACGGCCGACTTCTCGCAGGAACATATATGCCGCGGAGACGAGGGCTCGTGGCGTCTCTGCTGGCGGGCTGTCGCCGCCCCCGCCTCGTCGCGCACGGAGGGGCCGCGAGGTCTTGGCACAGAGAGCGCACCTCTGCCATTTCAAGTCGGGTACGTCCCTCTACAGGGGGAATATTCAAGCATAGTCGAAGCATAGCCTGGGAACGATTTTCTGATGATTCGGGGGCTATCTTTGAGCATTGCTTGACGGACACGCCCGACTCACATGGGACATGTCTCGACTAGCAAATCTGCGCCCAGTTGCCCACGCATCGCGTTCTTGTTTTTGCGCAACTCGCTGTGTCGTTTTCGCTTGATGTACTCGCATCTTTTTGAAAAGCAGGAAGCGGTGTTTCGTGATTTCCTGCATGTTGCTCTGCGTGAGCTCGGTGTCACAAACATCATATTCCCAACCGCGCCGTTATAACCAAGCACGCCTCGGAAGCTGGGCGAGGGCTGCTAAAACGGCCCTCCCGGAAGGAACAAAAACAACTTCCCGGAATGAGGCGCGGCACGCGAAACAGTCAACGGGCTTATTCCCGGAATTTGGACGCCCGACATGGGCACGGAAAAAATGGGCACAATGCCCAACAGCAGTTCCTGTTCATTTTGAACAGGACTCGCTGTCCACGCCGCCGCGGCCCGTGTCCATTTGAGACAGAGGGCCGCCTGCCAAACAGCGGCCGCTGTTGGTTTGGGACAACATTTGTTGTTGGGCATTGTACCCAGTCTTTCCGTGCCCATTTCGGGCGTCCAAACGGAAGGACGAAGACACTTTCCCGGACGCCGATCTTAGCAGCCACGCATCTCGCAGCCCTCGCCCGGCTTCCGAACGCCGTTGGCGCGGCCTTGGCGGAGGACGCGCCCGGCCCCAATCTGCGCCCCAAATCGCCCACGGAGCGTCGCTCGCTCGGGGGCCCGACGGCCCGCCCCAGGAAGGCCTGCGCCAGTTCGCCGCCGAGGGGGGGGGGGGGGGAGATTCGGTCTCTTTACAACCAGAACAACCACTTTACAACCAGATGGGTTACTTTACAACCAACATAGGATTGGAAAGTATGGTTTTTCATCGAGAACGTCCACTTTGCAACCAGAACGGCCCACTTTACAACCAGAACGGACCACTTTACAACCAGAACGGGCCACTTTACAACCAGAACGGACCACTTTACAACCAGCTCAGAGTGGCCGTGCGTGTTTGGGCGTTCCGCAAAGTGCTCCAGAGCAAGTGGGCGCTCTGAAAAATGCCCCAGAGCAATTGGGCGCTCTGAAAAATGCTCCAGAGCAAGTGGGCGCTCTCAAAAGTGCTCCAGGGCGCGCGGACGCTCTGACAAATGATCCAGAGCACGTGGGCGCTCTGGAGCCCGAGCGCCTGAACTCTCTGCGCAGGCCCCAGCGATGCCTCTGAACCCGAGCGCCTGAACGCCCCGCGCAGGCCCCAGCGATGCCTCTGAGCCCGAGGACCTGGACGCTCTGCGCAGGCCCCAGCGATGCCTCTGAGCCCGAGGACCTGGACGCTCTGCGCAGGCCCCAGCGATGCCTCTGAGCCCGAGCGCCTGGACGCTCTGAGCAGGCCCCAGCGATGCCTCTGAGCCCGAGCGCCTGGACGCTCTGGCGCTCTGAGCCCAGCAGACTAAGACAGGGCTTGCTAGCAGGGGCCAAGCGGCCTCAACAAGGGCCCCGTGCTCGCACGGGAATAAGGCGACAGCATACGTAGGAAGGCTCAGGGCGACGCGCTGCCCATTTTAGGGATCACTCACAGGAAGCGAGCCCCGTGGCCTCCACAACGGCCCAGCGCTCCAGGGAACTAGGCCATTGGCACCGCGGGTCTCTTGGGCCACGTTGGCCCCTGAAGCCCCACGGTGTTCTGCAAGGGGCTAAGTGCGCCCGCTCCAGTTGGCCCCCTGCTGCTCCTCGTCTTGGAAGATCGAGGTTCAACGTCCCGAATAAATGCAACTATTTCGAAGATCGTTTCTTCCAGCGTCAGCCACGGTGCCAGCGCAGCAACGCAGGTATCGTGCTCGGGCAGCAGCTTCAGCCACCGTGCCAGCGCAGCAGCTTGAGCCACCGTGACAGCGCATCACCGCCACCTCTGTGCCTGCTACCACCACACTTACCGCTGCAGCCCCGCTACCTCCACAATTCCGACTGACCCCCCGCTACTACCGCAAATCCCATTGCAGCCCAGCTACCACCACAGTTCCCACCGTTGCCTGGCGACCACCACAGTTGCCACCGCAGCTTCCCAACACCATGCAGTTCCCATTGTAGCCCCCGCTTCCACCACATCTCCCACTACAGCTTTCCACTGCCATGCAGCTCCAGTCTTGGACGGGATCATGGTTTATTCGTATGCCTTGCGCGACTAGCCTTCGCCCGTCAGAAAAAAAGGCAAAGCAAGCAATGGCAGAACTGACCGACAGAGCTTAGAGAGCAGGTCAAAACTCGAACCCGCCCACCAGCACGCAACATGCCATAGCGCACCAGGTCGCCGCATCGCCAACTCGTGCGCAGTGCTTCTTCGTGCGCGATGGGCAACTTTACAACCAACATGCCTCAAAGAGCCCAAAGCCACCCTTGCGCTTGCCCACGGAGATTTCAGGGAAAGGCACGCGTGCATTCAATATGTGTTGTTACTTGCCTGGTTGTAAAGTGCCCTTCCTGGTTGCAAAGTGCCCTTCTTGGATGTTATAAGCTGGTTGTAAAGTGACCCATATGGTTGGAAAGTGCGCTTCTGGTTGTAAAGTGACCCGCACGCGGGGGGGGGGGGGGGGGGGGCGCAGGGCGGAAGCGCGACCCAGGGGCAGCAGAAGGAGGTTTTTCCCGAGGGCTTAGGCCCCCTTCTCCTCCTCCCTCCCTCCTCCTCCTCCTCCTCCTTCTCCTCCTCCTCCTCCTCCAGCCGTTCTGGCACAAGTTTGGTGCTTGTTGGCGCGAACTTCAGAGCGGCACACTGCGTTAACGGGCCTTCTGGCTCGGATCTTCTCAGTGATTGACTTCGGGGTGTATGACGCCCCCGCCTGCATCGCGCAATGGTGGTGCTAAAGGAGACGGGCGTGGCAAAGGACGAGTTCGTGCGGACTGGTCCAGCGGCGCGGCCGCCCCTCCCTGGCACTACGGCGCCTACATGTACTCGGACAAGGTTACGGACGGATATTCTAAGTTCAAGTGCAGCTCCTGTGGCTGCGCGAAGAACCCCAAGGCGGCCCGCTACTGCAAGCATTGTGGGGCGCCTTTCGTTGCTGTTCGCCCTGTTGATGGTGGAGCCCCGCAGAACGGGGCGTGGTCGCTGGCCCCTCCTGGCTTTTTCTCCTCGGCGGCTCCTTGGGCCAAGCACTTGCGTCCTCTCCCTGGGCCCCCTGGAGGTCCTGGACAGCCTGCTGGAGCTGGGCATGGAGGTGGGCATCCTGGAGGCGCAGCTGCCAGGGCACCCCCTCTCCCCGTCGGGCCCCAGAGCCAGCTTAAAGCGGATGAGGCCAAGCAGCTGGCAGACCTCGCACGGAAAGGAGGTGACCTCACCACAGCAACCAAGTACGAGGCCGAGTTCAAGAAGCTGCATGCACAGGAGTCGCCTAAGCCTCCCACGCCGCTCCACCAGCGAGTGCAGCAGCAGTTTGCCGCCGCGGCTCGACTGGAGAAGGCGTTGGATCGGGAGGTGGGCAAGCTCCTGGGCTGGAGGAACGACATCGCCAAGCTTGAGGACACGGTGCGCACCATGCGTGAGGAGTTGGCCACGGCCGACCAGCAGTACAAGGCGCTGGTGGCTGAGCGTTCAGCAGCAGGCGGCTGTGGCACCTGTCCCCGCTGCCCCTGCCCCTGCCGAGCTCGAGCTGGAGGACTTGTGTGCCGACACGTTCGACCTGGGCGCCTTCCCTACAGTGGATGAGGTCAGTTTCTTCGAGGGCGACGCAGAGCTCGAGGACAAGGGCCGCGAAGAGATCGCCAAGCGGAAGGACGACCTCAACGCTGGGGTCCCCAAGCTGGCCAAGGACCTGCTGGGCCCCCTGGTGGCTGCTGCCAAAGCGGCCCGAGATGCACATCGATAACATCTGGCTCGGGTCGCCAGCAAGCGGCGGCGCGCAGATCAGGGAGCAGCGGCAGGGGGTGATGCTGGAGCTGAAGGTGAGCCGCGTGCGGCACCTAATCCCGCCCCTGGCACGGCGGCAGCCGACGCTGCCCCAGCTGGTGGTGGAGCCTCAGCAGCTGCAGACGATGTGCGGGCCAAGGCAGAGAAGGCCCTTCAATCTCCCCCCCCGCCCCTGGCGGGGTGGGGGGAGGAACCACCGCCTAGTCTGGCCGTGCATTCGTGCTTGCATGCGCGTGCCAGTTTCAGCGCTCTCACGGTGAGCGCCCAAGGGAATTCTCAATGCCCGTCCCCAACTTTTGATCCGGATGGTTTCGAAATCCACGGTCTCAGAGCGCCTTCCCACTCTGGGTCGCATCAATGTAGTGCCGATGGAGTGCGGAGCCCCCTCGACGCTCGATGGGCTGATGCCCACAAGTGTTTCAACCTGTCGCAAGCTGTGGAGGCCACCCTCGCCAAGTCGGACAGCGCCTGTCCCCGACAGGCCGCTGGCGGCCCCCGCCCTAGGCATCGGCGTGCCCCCTTGGTTTTTTCGGCACCGAGGGCCGCGAAGTTTTTACCAGGGCCGCGCCAGGCCAAGGCGTTGAACGCTCTCAGGCTTCCAAGCTTTTTCCCTTCCACACCCCCGACCCCAGCCCTGGAGATTCTAGGGTTGAGCTCGTTATCCAGACCGCCAATGTCACGTCTTGGCAATCTGACTCGGGAGGCGGCCTCAAAGCTTGGCTTCCCAAGTGCGGTGCGCACGTTCTCTTAATCCAAGAGCACCACCTGCTTGAGGCTGATCTGGAGTAGGCTACTGGATGGGCTCATCGGCATGGGTGGAAAGCTATCCTTGGGCCTGCTGCTCCAGGAGTGGGACACGGTACTTCTTCTGGGGTTGGGATCTTGGCCCAGAACTCTTTGGGGCGTCACGCTCCTCCTGGAGGCCACATCATCGACAGGCGTCGTTCGATCGGGGCCGTTGTGCACATTCCTGGTGGTGAGCCCATCCTCGTTTGCAGCACTTACTTGCGCACGGTCGAGGGGCCTCCCAGTGCAGATGCAGTTTCATGCAGGGATTGGGAGACTTAATGGCCTCGTCTTTCGGAAGCCCCCGCCGCTGCCGATTGAGCCTGCGATCGGCCCAGTGCCTCCACCGCCAGATTGGACAGCTATTCAGTGTGAAGCTGATCGTGCCCTTGTTGCTTGCCACAGTGGTGACGCGCACGCTGCGCAGTGCATGCTCGGCGCCCTCTATAAGCACTGGGCCGACCTTTCGGAGAAGGAGCTAGGGAGGGGGAGACAAACCATTCTGCCCTGTTGGGGGAGCAGGGGAAAGATGCCACAGCAACATTGGGTCAACATTCTCGACCAAGATCGGGAAGCCCCCACCGGCAGCCCTAATTGTTTTCGATCAAATGGCTTGTGGGCAACTTCTCCAACTCGATGCCGTTGCTATAGGATCCGCCCAGTCCCAGGAACTTCGGAGGATGTTGCTTAACCCTCCTCGCTTTTTGAAGCAAGGGCTGGATGTCCACAGCGACCTCGTCATTCGAGTGCAGTCCTGTATGGGCCAACTTGATCTTCTCGACCTCGCCGTCGGAGAATCCATCCTTTCCGACTTAGACGAGCACCTCGCGACCTTCGCTGTGAAGGCCAAATTGCAGGCGCTTGCTGAGTGGAAAGAGTGGCTTCTTCAGTCTATTGACCAGGGCGCCAGGGGAGCCCACCAGCATGTCAGAGGCAGCCAGCCGTGGACCCCCACCACGACCCTCAGCAGGGACGGAGCTGTTGTCTCGGACCCCCTGGCGCTGCTGGCTCCAGAGGCCAGCAAGTTCAGTAAGCTTTGGAAGGCCACTCCCGACCCCCCCCCCCCCCCCCCGAAGGAGACCAAGTTCCTATTCGTTGAGCCCCATCCCCCGTCTCACTGCTGAAACCCTGCGTTCGGCTTCTAGGCTGTATTCCGCCCGCTCAGCCACTGCCGTTGACGGGTTCCACATGAAACATGTTGCCTCGCTCTCGGATGGGTCCCTGGATGTCCTGTGTACCATGTATTCCATCATGGAAGCGTCTGGGCTGTTCCCTGGGCAAACCTCCCTGGTTGTGCTTTCCCTCCTCCAGAAACCCTCTGGAGGGTATCGGCCCATTGGCCTTTTCTGCAGCTCTCACCGCCTCTGGGGGCGGTGCCGCAGGTCCTATGCGGCCCAGTGGGAAAGCAAGTTTCAGCGGTGCTATTTTGCGGGGGCCCAATTTTCTTCTGCGGTCGATGTTGTCTGGAGGCAGACTCTGCGAGCTGAAGGAGCTGTGGCCGGCAACCAGTCCAGTTGTACGGTTCTGTGGGACCTCTACAAATGTTTCGAGTTGGCGCACCTGGGCACGCTCCTTCAGCGCTGCCATCAGTATGAGTTCCCCGTCCAGTTAGCTCGACTTGCTGTGCAAGCCTATCGGCATGGCAGGTTCATTTCTCTTGGCGGCGTGGTCGTCGGCCCGTTCCATGTCACCAACGGGGTCGTCGCCGGCTGTGGGTTTGCAACCACCATGGTGCGCATTAGTGCTATTCCTGCACTTGACGCGTTGCAGCTGCCACCAGGTATTACGCTCGACGTTTACATTGACGATTGCGGTCTCAGCTGCAACGGGTCCAATGCCTACATTCTCAGGCACCTCCCTGAGGCCGCAGCCAACCTCAGGGATGCCATCGAGGTTGACATGGGGGCGGTCATTTCTCCTGATAAAGCTTCTCTCGTCGCCTCGTCGGACGCGCTCGCCATGCAAGTCAGGGACTGCCTGGGCGGCCTCGCGGGGCCCATTATCCAAGGGACAGTCAACTTGGGCATTGACTATGCCCCAGGGTCCTCCCGACGCCTTCCCGGCAGGGGGAAAAAGTTTTCTGACCGCAAACGGGTTTTCAACAATTACGCTACCGCGCAACCCCACATACTTAATCTA